GGTCACGTGATAATGTCCTAAAGTCCGTTCATCACTTAGAAGGTGCTCGTGGTCTATCAGCAGCTGACCTTGCAAACCATATCAACACAGCTTTCTTGGCCCCAAGGGAGGTTTTTGAACCGCTTACCCACAATCTATTTAGGGGAGACGACTTTGTGTCTTCGAACAGAACTATGAATGATGATTTCTCACCAATATCAGCGTTTTCTATCTTTAGAAAGTTATGTTCTATTAATCCAGCTAAGGCACAAGGACCGGACGGTATCCCCGGATGGCTCCTAAAGGAAAATGCGGATCTTTTGGCGCCATCCATCATGGATATCATGAATGCCTCCCTTCGTGAAGGCCGTTTGCCCTTATCTTGGAAAGAGGCAGATATCGTCCCTGTCCCCAAGCAAAGACCTATCCAAGACATCAATAAGCACCTTCGCCCTATCTCCCTTACGCCTATCCTTTCCAAGATTGCAGAAGATTACATTGTTCATGAATTTGTGATACCTGCCGTGTTAAAGAAAATCGACAAAAGACAATATGGGACAATACCTAAATCATGCACTACGCACGCACTTGTTAGCATGATCCATAACTGGCACGTCAGCTCCGATGGGAATTCGGCCGTGATTAGGATGGTTCTATTTGATTTCCGTAAGGCGTTTGATCTTATTGATCACAACATCTTAGTGCGTAAACTCTTAGATTACGATATTCCGAACCACATATTATGCTGGATTGTTGACTTTTTATCGGATAGAAGACAGAGAGTTAAACTGGCCGAGGATTGCTTCTCCGAATGGCGTTACATTCCAGCTGGTGTCCCACAGGGGACCAAGCTTGGGCCATGGTTATTTTTAATAATGATTAATGATCTGAATGCAGGAGAAGCAGAGATGTGGAAATATATGGATGATACCACAATTTCAGAGGTGATAGCTAAAGGCCAAGAGAGCTGTATTCAGCAAATGGTACACGATCTCGCAATACAAGCAAGGGATGAAGGTTTACAGTTAAACGAAAGGAAATGTAAAGAACTTAGGATTAGCTTCGCAAAAAACGAACCAGAATTTGATCCTACGTGGGTTAACCGTCAGACCCTTGAGACTGTAAAAAGTATAAAATTATTAGGACGCAATATAATAGTGATTTAAAATGGAATGCCCATGTGTTAGAGCTAGTTAGGAAGGTTTCTACAAGACTATATTTTCTACGACTGTTGAAGAGATCGCATGTCGCCACAAAAGAGCTTCTATTTTACATTACATGCATTCGGTCTACTCTAGAGTACGGCAGCCCAGTTTTCCATCGCGCTTTACCAAGTTATTTAAGCGAAGACCTAGAAAGACTTAAAAAACGTGCTATGAAGATTATTTATCCCGAGCTTTCGTATGCCAAGGCTCTGGAAATATCTGGACTTTTAACGCTGTATGATAGAAGAGAGGCAATCGCAGCAAAGTTGTTCAATGAAATATGTGCAAATCAATCTCAGAGTCTTCATAAACTACTTCCAAGCAAATACCAACCTGGCTACTATCTGAGAGAACAAAGAACATTTGTTTGTCCGAGGTGTAAAACTGAAAGATGCAAGAATAGCTTTCTCTTAAGTTACGTTTATCGTAGGTGATAATTAGATATTAATTTGTTTCTTATTTTACATAGGAATTCGACGCATGCTTGTAATTTTGTCATTCTGTAACAGTTTTTAGTTAGGAAATTAATTAATTAGTTGTAATTTAGTAAGCTGGAAATTTTGCGTTTTTTTTTTTTTTTTTTTTTGCGTTTTTATGGACTGAGACGAGGTCTCGGTCCATAAAAAAGTAGAAAAAGAACGAGGCTAATATCCAGTCATCTTGACCATACAAGCTTGGTCAAGAGAGTTTATATTCTCTTGGCTTAATCATTAAAGGATTCATTGTAAAGCAAAATATTTCGCTTTGATAAGAATCAAGAATGGCCAGTTTATTTCGAGAACCGATAGAGAAAGCCAACTGTGTTTGCAACACAATAAACCCAAGAGGGTCGTTTATTTTTTTCCTACGTATAGCAATAGCCCACATAAAAAAGTAAAAAAAGAACAAAGCTAATATCCAGTCATCTTGACTGAACAAGCTTGGTCTTGTATTCTCTTGACTTGGTCATTAAAGGATTCATTGTATAGCAAAAGATTTCGCTTTGATAAGAATCAAGAATGGCTTATTTATTTTGAGAGCCGATAGAGAAAGCCGACTGTGTTTGCAACACAATAAACCCAAGAGGGTCGTTTATTTTTTTTCTATGTATAGCACTAGCCCACTTTGGGCTGGAAATGATTTTCTTCAACTCAATCAATAAACCGCTTAAAGGACCATAATCCGACTGCTGATATTTCTTATGTCTAGCAAGTAAAAAGACGCTGACTGATATCAGCGAGCCCGTAATGCGACATATAGACTAGTCAGCGGTTTTTTTAGTGCGACAGCTGTCACTTTAACATCTCAATGTGGAAGTCCGCCATAACAACAATGTACTGAAGGAGTTAAACGATTGCATTGGAGGCTTATTACATTTAGGACTTTATTACATTTAGGACCAAATGTTATTACATTTAGGACCTTATTACATTTAGGACAGTTATTACATTTAGGACTTCAACAGCGGGCAGCTAAAAAAATGCAAATATTCTCTCCAAATTTCTAGAAGAGATAAATTAAAACATTATTTTGCTTTACATCGTCAATAAACTATTTGCAGTGACAGGTGACTTCTCGGCTGTGTTATTATTCACAAGTAAGGAACGATTCAGGATCAAATTCACCTTAACACTTTTCTAAAGACTGTCATTCTTTAGGAAAACGAAAAAAAGCGGCCCTGCGTTTTTTAGTACCATTTAAATGTTGTATTATACAAAACTTTTGTTAGATTTGTAACGAATTACCTATTTAAAATGGTGGCGGATAGTTGTTTTTAGACCTAAAAAAAAAACATGATTCATTTATTTTTATTTTTACAGGTAAAATCTCAGAGATAAAGTCAGGCAAAAGCAAATAATCCTCCGCGCTTCCGTCTGCTCGAGAACTCCCAACTATTTTGACAATTTTGGTCAATTCTAAGGATTGTTGAATATTGATCATAATTAATTCGTGTAACTTGAAGGCTGGTTTTCCCGATGGCTTCCTTTTCGATTGAAATCAATTTCACGAAACTAATTTGCTCTCAAAGGGAAAATGACTGCAAATTTATTTTTCTTTTGTTTTTGTTTTTTTCTTCTCATTTCTTCTCATGAAGAAGTGATTACATCAGAAGAGCAATCAGGAATCGTGGAAATCTTATATTTTGTTAATAACAATTGTAGTATTCATCCCCTGGGGATGTAAAAACAGTTTTTTTAACTTTGCAGCGAATAAAGTTGCAACCGATTGCAAGAAAAAATGCTAAAAGGAAATATTGGCTTAGGATAGATTTTAAACAAATGCCAAAACGATCCTCGAAGAGAAAAACGACATGGATCGAACCCATGCCCTCCCCTCTTCGAGCGAGTATGCCTTTTTTGAGGATTCCTACGGAAGTTCCTGGGACCACTTCATGACCCAGCAAGGTCTTGAGCCTAAACCTCTTGATCTGCTCCAGCTCAGCCATGCCACTAGGCCTGATGATCTCAAGGCAAGAGCAGTATTTTTTTTGTTGTTGTTTTTGTTTTTTGTGCAATGATAAACCTGACTGACAGAAAACTCAGTGGGTTCGAATGATTTCTTTGCTCATGGTCAGTGATTAGCATAATCAATTGTTCCTAAACAGCGTTGCTCTTGTAGTAAGGAATAAGATTCAAGAAAGGGACGATGGGGTCAAAATGGGTCACAGCTTATTTATGCTTCTAAGAAATATGTTTTTTAGCCGATGCTCTATGGTAGTAGAAGTGTACCAGTCTAAGCACACTCAGCCGAATACTTTAACTCACTGACGTAAACCTCAGATGAAAAAATGAAAACATCTATGATATTGTCTACATTCATCCCGGCTTGTTTCGTCAGGGAGTGATGACAAATCTCGAAGAATATAGAAATATTCTGAATAAGAAATAGTCTCACATCACTTTTTTACCTCTTAATGATGATTAAAGTAAAGAAAAGAAAGCATTAGTTGACAACGAATTGACTTGAAATGGTGTAATCTAAAGCATTTTGATGCATCGCGTATGTACATGATATTTTTATTACAGTTGTCATTAAACTTAGCTTGATAATTTTAACACGAAACTGCCTAGAGCTCGATTTACGTGCGTCATTTGAGGTTACAAAAAAAAAAACTCAGTATGAAGATTAACATGAAATGGGTAGGGGAGGGTAAAAAAGGCAATGGAAAAGGCAAGTGTGGAATTTTTTGAAATTAGAGAACAGTAGAGCATAGTGTTCACCATTTCCCAATAAGGTAATGAGGATTGCACAACGTTCCTGGTCTACGCGTGTAGACTTAGAATATTACTATTTCTTTGGGACGGGATCCTAATCCATCCTAACTTCCCGCCCAGAATTTACTTGACAGTGTCTGTTACCCAAAGGAATTCCCCAGTGGGGAGAGACACAGCGGGAACTAAGAACCTTTCCTGGAGACACAAATAGAATTTTTGACGGAAAACTGTTTAAAATTTTACACTACCGAGAGAGACTTTTCGGACCATTTTGCTATTTCAAAAACTGGTTGAAGGGAACACCTCTACTTCGTGGGGACTGTGACTCCCAGCTAACAATGTATCATTTTTCCTTTACTGGACTTGGAGCAGAGAAGGTTTCGTTAAACCTGCTGTACGAATGTGAATTTTGACCTGCGTTGTCAGCAATATGAATATCGTTGGATATACATTGAAATGTTGGACCATAGCTTATGCATAGGCGTACGGGCCGGGGGAGCGGGGGGGCTGCAGCCGTATAGATATAGTGGTGGATTCTTCAGATACTTCCCTGGATAAGTCAGAAATCGAGGTGATTCAAGTGAATAATGGTGCTTGTTGTGCTCCAGCTACGTCAGAATCTATGGATGCTGGTCTGACGGATGAATCAGAAATCATGGATAAAGGTAATTCGGATACGTCAGAGATCATGGATATGGAAAGCATAGATAATGGTGCTGACAATAGTACTAGTGCTCCAGATACGACAGAAATTGTAGATAACGGTGCTAACTCTTACATCGTGCATAGTACTTATAGGGATATGTCCATTTCAGTTGTCATAGATAATCGTGTTCCAGAAAAGTCACTTAATTCAGCTATCACGGATAATGGTGCTCCAGATAAGTCAGATATCGTAGATGGTGCGCACAATTCGTCATTGGATACAAATTTATGTAGTGGTACTTGCCTAACGTCCAGTGATATAGATGAGAGTCCTCAGCAACCGATTTTGAAGTTCTACGACCCAAAAAAATTTGGAAGTGAATCTTTTTCTAGAGATTTCAACCCAGCCTGGTACAAACGATATCCATGGCTGAGCTACGACTTTGAACCTAAGAAAGCGTGCTGCTACCCATGCCAGAAATACTTGAATGCCCACGATTTCACGTTTGACAATTGGAAGAAGCCAGAGCATCTTACTAAACACCACAAGAGTGAGAACCATCAAACGGCCATGGCGAAATGGATTGATAGTAGAGCAAATAAGAAGAGAAATACTTCAATACTGAGCAAACTCCAGGAATCACACAAGCAAGATGTGAAGGAAAATCGTGACTACCTGAAAGTTATCATTGAATGTCTCATGTTTACGGCCCAGCAGAACATCGCTCAGCGTGGTCACGATAAACAACGTGATGGTTTGAGTAATAGCAGTGATGTAAATAGAGGTAATTTTCTGGAACTAATTCACTTGCGGTGCAAGGACATAGCTTGGCTAAAGGATAAACTCGATAGCAGCTTCAGAAGCACGCGCAGTGGACATCTCCCGTGATACAAAACGAACTGCTACAAATTATTGCCGATCTCATTCGCGAGCGTATCACAAACGATGTGCGAGCCAGCGGATGGTATGGTATCATCTTGGATGAAACATCAGACATTAGCAGAACAGAACAAGTTTCACTTTGCCTTAGTTTCGCGCTGAATGGAACGAAGAAGGAAGCATTCATTGGTTTCTACTCCACGAAATCAACCGAAGGAGAAGTACTGTATGAACTGGTGAAATCCTCTATCACTGAATTCAATCTTGACCTAAAGAACATTGTTGGTAAAGCATTCGATGGGGCTGCTAACATGAACGGTGTACACAAAGGACTCTCGACAAGAATGGAAGAGTGCTCCCCGTTTGGTATCTACGTCCACTGTTACAGGCATGTGGTCAACCTCGCACTTCAGGATACTATGACACAGATTGAACCACTGCGAAACGTTTTGGGGACTATCCAGGCTCTGCACAACTTTTTAGATGCGAGTCCCAAACGACACGCCCTGTTTAGTGACACAGAAGTACAAGGCGAGGATCTGAAACTGACGCTGAAGTCATTGAGTGCCACGCGATGGTCATGCCGGTGGGAAGCCGTTAAAGCCGTATACGGGCAAATGGAACGTATTGTAAAAGCCCTGCTCACGCTGTCTGCAGACAAAGATCCGAAAAACTACTCTGAGAGCAGAGCCTTGTTGATCGCCATTTGAGACTTGGAGTTTATCTTCGGACTGTGTTTGCTGAAAGTAATCCTGAGCAACACCAGTAGTTTGTGTCGATATCTTCAGGGGAAGACGGTTGACGTCATCTCCGCTCGTAGAAATGCCGACATGACCATTCAGACCCTACGCCAGTGTCGGAACGAAGAAAGTTTCAACAGCGTATGGCAGTTAGCATCAGCAATGGGTCTGAAAATTAAGAAGTGGCTGACCAATTCTGAGTTTGAATTACGAGAGGCCAGGGCACCCAGACAGACGCCATCGCGCCGCCTTCAAGCCCTTGTAGGTGAACACGCTCAACGACAAACGCAGCTGACACCGGAATCGCACCACCAAGTCAGTAATTGTCCAGGGTAACGATTGTCATACAGTGTTTGAAACGAGCGGACCGTTAATGTATTTTCTCTTGAAGTAACTTCCTCTGACTTCTTCAGAAGCAAGATAAGCCGTCAGTATAAAATAAATTGGAATTCAGCCTCTTGTGACATAATAGTTTGTTTTCAGTTCATGTTTTCACGGCAAGGGGCCGCGAGTAGCTTGGAGTGATTGAAAATGCGGTCTAAAGCTTATAAGCCAGGACAGGACGCAGTTAAGCTGTGTTCGCTCAATATTTGTTTTCCTTAAGGCCCGTTTACGCAGGCAGGCCTTAAGGACTGATCGCAGAAGTCTAAATTGTATTCTGCTGAAAATGTCTTCTCGCTTTGTCAATGTTCAACCACTGGCGCGATGAGTATAAAAGAGTATGCAAGCCAAGAAAACAAAAAGGTGTTATTTTCGCACCTTTTTACGTTTGACTGATTTCACTTTTTCCGCTTGAAGTGTGCAGAAACAGCAAACGCAGACAGAAAGGCAAGGTAAAAGGACTTGAGCGGCAGATTAGCTGATGCAGTATGGAAGATGAGATAGGAATATAAACAGTAGCGTCAGGGTTGAGCAGTTTATGGCGATTGGCGGTTTAAATTTATAGAGTTTCATTTTCGCTTGGTAAATGACGGGTGTTGCGTAGTTGGCCGGCAGCACACTCTAGCACATTTTTTTGTTGGGACTTCTGTTTGGAAGGTTCCATACAGCAAGCCAAAAGAAAAAGCGAACAAAATACCAACCGACATTATTGCGTTGTCAATGAGGAACTCACTATCAACTTCAATGCCACAAATTCTGGTTATATTAAAAAAGGCGTTCCCTTGTAGCACCTTAATAAACCAGTAAAAAACTGAAAGCTTTAACAGAGAAACAAGGATACAAGTAAACCATTCATTCGATCTTAGTCAGCCTTTGTGCATTTTGTAATTAAATTAGACCTGTGCTTCCTGGTTCACGCTGGTTGTCATTAAACGCCGCTTGTAAGTGAAGTCTTTGAATAACAGTGCGCATATTAAAACGCTCAGGCTCGCGTTTTTTTTTTTTGGTCTATTGAAGCAAATAAACCTCGCTGTTGAAGGCAAAACAATAGGTGCGATTTTCGCACCTTTTTCCGTTTCAGTGACTTTATTCTCCGGTTGGCCACAAGTTCTTAAACAAAAAATGTTCATCACTGCATTAGGTGAGTGAAAAAAAAATAGTGACTTGTTTGGACTTGCTTGTTTACTTGCTTTGTGGTACTTGCATATAAAGGCCTCGTAAACGCAAGTCATAATCACTTTAGATTATCCCTTCCTACAAGAATGAGGAAGGGCTAAAGTGATCAGTCCATGTTTCGTTGTCTTGGAGATTGCAAGCGAAAGTTTGTCGGATGTAAATCCATGCGGTCGACGCTTGAAGTGAAAGGTAACGTTAAAGTAAAAGTTTATCAAACTATCCGGTGTAGGGTCGGCTGAAATCCAAAATCCAGCTTGTTTACGGTAGTAAATATCTTTAAAAGTGGATTTCCATTGACAATCCAAGCAAGTGAGGAAAGAAAACAACAAAAAGGCAAATAATATGCAGAGCTGTGAATTGTTACCGGCAGCCATGCTGGCGCATACATTAATTCAAAAATGGATTACTACTCTAATCGTATTTCAGAGGCTGGCAACGACAACAAAGCCCTATTTCGATTAATCGACCGTCTCCTCCACAGGAAAGCAGAGAAAAGTTATCCAACCAGCACATCAGCGGAAGATCTCGCTAATACATTTGTTACCTTCTTCGAAGATAAAATAACCCGTATTAGAAGTATACCTACTCCTTCTGAAATTCCGGATTACTTTTCCTCACTGGATATTTCCACCACTAATTAGCTTGAACTATCGAAGATTGCCCGCTCTGTTGTGCAGAAATCCTGCTGTCTGGATCCTTTACCAGCCACGTTACTTAAAGAACATCTGGACCTGCTCCTTCCATCTATTTGTAGTATTGTAAACCTGTCACTGGTATCTGGTTTTCTACCTTCGTCCCTTAAAAACGCTGTTGTAACCCCTCTTCTCAAGAAACCGAACCTGGACCACGAAGTTCTTAGTAATTTTAGGCCTATTTCGAACCTTAAGGTTATCTCGAAAGTCATTGAGAAGGTTGTGGCAGTGCGTCTTCAAGCTTATCTTGACTTCTACCAACTCACAGAGCCGCTACAATCTGCCTACAAATCATTCCACAGCTGCGAAACCGCCCTTCTCCGTGTTCAAAATGACATTTTGCTTGCTATCGATAATCGCCACTGTGTCATGCTCCTGTTACTAGATCTCTCCGCTGCATTTGACACTGTTGACCATGTAATACTGCTCAAAAGATTGAATTCTAAATTCTCAATACGTGGCACTGCACTTGACTGGTTCCGCTCCTACCTTACTAACCGCACACAAGTCGTCCTAATCGATGGGAGGAAATCGCAATCTCGTGAGCTCAAGTGTGGAGTACCTCAAGGCTCCGTTCTTGGGCCGATCCTCTACCTACTTTACACTGCTCCTCTTGCCGACATTTTACGTTTTCACGACATGCAATTTCATTTCTACGCCGATGATACTCAGTTGTACATTTCTTTTTCCGTTAACGATGACCTGGAATTAACCAGTAGCATTGCTAAAATCGAGAATTGCTTATCCGATCTAGATAAGTGGATGGCCTTAAATAAGCTGAAGCTAAACAAAGACAAAACTGAACTTCTCTACCTTTATTCAAAGCACAACCCTCAACAGTCTATACCTCCACTTCGTTTTGGTTCTGATATAATACAGCCGTCTTCATCTTCCAGAAATATTGGCGTCGTTTTCGATAGTACTATGTCAATGCTCCCTCATGTCAAATCTGTCTGTAAATCTGCCTTCTATCATCTTCGGAACATTTCCCGTATAAGGAAATTACTATCCATTAAGACCACTGAGACTCTAGTCCACGCCTTTGTAACCTCCAAGTTGGATCACTGTAACTCTCTTTTATACGGTGTCCCCAAATACGCTATCCAAAAGCTCCAATCAGTGCAGAATGCAGCGGCTCGACTTATTACCAGCTCTCGTAAATTCGACCGCATCACCCCTGTTTTGTTCGACCTACACTGGCTTCCAATTTCTGAGCGAATTAAATTCAAAATAATTCTGCTCACCCATAAAGCTCTTCACCAGCAGTCTCCTGTCTACATTCAAGACCTAATACGCCGTTATTCAACTTCAAGAACGCTCCATTCGTCTTCAACATTGCGTCTGACTCCTGTCAACTTGAATCTCAAGTCCTATGGCTATAGAGCTTTTGCTGTTTCGGCTCCTGAACTGTGGAATAAACTACCTGATGACATTCGTTCTTGTGACAATTTAAAAATTATTAAACGTAAACTTAAGACTCATCTTTTTAAAAATTACTTTAATCTCTTTTCTTATCCATGTCAAACGCCTATATCTTAGACATCAGTTACTTAAGACTTACTTTTAATATTATTTTAACGTGTGATATTTTAATATTTTTGTAAAGTGCTTAGAACAGGACTGGATAAGCGCTATATAAGTAGTTTTATTATTATTATTATTATTATCCCTTACTGAGAGAATAGCTAAGAACATGAGCAAGTTTTACGAAGTCTCGAAAGTGCTCGATAAGCGTACAGACGCCCATGGTCACGTTCAGTACCTCGTCCGCTGGCGTGGCTATGGAAAGAAGAACGATAGCTGGGTGGATGAAGCCGACACAAACGAGCGCCTTAAACAAGTGTTTAGGACACGCCACCAAGGAACTCCGGGCTTGCTGCAGACCTTAGCTGTGTTAGTGGCAGAAAAGCTGAACAAGAAGAAACCGCCAACAACGAGCATCGTGAGACGTTCGTCTGTCACCATGCCGATGGATGCCGAGACCTTTAAAGAGTTGTTCGGTGGTCTTCCTTCCGCGCCA